CCATTCCCCCATGCCCCAGTCTCTGGCAGCCATTAATCTACTTTCTGTTGCCTATTCTGGACATTTCTTATAAATGGGCTCATACAATATGTGGCTTCATGTGCCTAACTTCTTTCACTTAGCATAATGTTTTCAAGGTTTACCTATGTGGTCGTTTATTTCAGTACTTTATTCATTTTCATGGTTGCATAAAATTCCTTTGTATGGGTATACCACATATTTTAATCCTGAGGGACATTCAGGTTGTTGCCACCTTTTGGCTATTATGAATAATGCTGCAATGGACATTTATGTACAAGTTTTTGTGGACATAATGTTTCATTTCTCTTGAGTATATTCATAGTTTAAATTGCTAAATCATGTGGCAACTCTGCTTTTTGAGAAATTTCCAAACTCTTTCATAGAAGCTGCACTATTTTACATTCTTAACATCAATGTATGAAGGTTCCAATCTCTTATCTTTGTTGATATTTTTTATTGTTTCCATTTTTTATTATAGCCATCCTAGTGGTTTTGATCTGCATTTTGATTGTAGCCATCTCATTATGGTTTTGATTTGCATTTTCTTCATGATTAATGGTGTTGAGCATCCAACATCATGAAATATTTGCACATGTTTTCTTTGAGGCGTTTTTAGATTTTTGGTCCATTTCGAGTTAATTTTTGTATATGTTGTCAGGTAGGGATCCAACTTCATTCTTTTGCCTGTAGATTTCCAGTTGTCCCCACATCATTTTTTGAAAAGACTATTCTTTTCTCCACTGAATTGTCTAGGCACCCTTATCAGAAATCAGTTGTCTATATAAATGTATGGGTTCTACTCAAAGGGTCTTGTGCCACAATGTAAATCAATGAACTACTTCTCTCACAGTTAAAGCTTCACTAGGAAAAGAAGTCAACTTAGCGACTTGATTGATTTATTTTCTGGAACAAGCTCTATATTTTCTTGTAGTCTAGTAACAGCTTACTAAGCAGCAAATGTTCATGGACCACATTTTCAGTAGCACTGCTCAGGAGCATCCCAGACTCTATGTCAGAGCCACTGGATTAGAATCTGTTTTTAAACAGAATCCCTAGGTTCATATGTATATTAACGTTTCACCACACTGTTCTAGAATCAGATTCTAAATGACTTTAAAGATCTAGTCTGTAAGTACAGGATTAACTAATGAGTAAGACTTAGGAAAGGGAGAGTAAATGTGAGTGTAGGCAGGAGACTGTCAGGGGCTTCTTAAGTAGCAGAAACCCACTAGGACCCTAGATAACTTGACCTTTAACAAAACTCCAGGGCCAACCCAGATCTCAGAGCACTTCTTTTCCTCCTGCACTGGACTTGATAGTTTTTGTTTGACTGTGAATAACTCCTTGAAGAGAGTTGTAAAGGAAATTTAGAGTTATAGAGAAAAAAGGGGGAAGGATAGTAAGGCAGAAGACTTTTACAAAGCAACTTTGGGAATGATAAACTAGTTCCAGGCCTCGGAACTGCTTTTCTTCATCTTTAAATTAAGAAGAACCTGACATTTGTTTGAAAGGGTCTTTGGAACCGTAGTGTGATTCTAGAAGTTGGCAGCAATAGTGCTGAGTCATAAAATCCAAAAACATTGAATATTTGAATGAAGGGTCAAAACAGGTTAATATTCCTGTTTGAAAACTTATACGCAAATGCAAGCATGATGAAAATCAGGAATTTGCAGGTATCGTGCTGACATTGCTAAGAAGGATGGCCTGAGGAAATGATGTACAGGGAAACTAGTTATATGCAATATTCATTTTTACCATTTTGAGGTGAGTGATATTATTGATATGCTATTTAGAATGCTGTCTTCTTTGTTTTCTTGTGCATAAGTATAAAGGTTTTTAGAGATGTACTTAGGACTTGATTCCTCCTTAGAAGGCCTTAAGATGCTTAAGTAGGAATTTTCCTGCTGTAGGAATCTTGAAGCTAGAGAGATGGAATACTGCTCTGTGCTACAAGCATCATTAACTGAGACCCCCAGATAAACTTGAAATTTGCAATCTATAGGATCTTGGTTGAAGGTTTGATTATGAAATGGTAGCTTTTGTGCGTGTTTGTGAAAAGTTTTTCAGTACCTCAAGCAGTTAAATATGAAAGTTAACAAGCTAACTGTAAACCACTTTAAATATCTATTTAATAAAGTAGGTCTTTTAATAACATGTTTGTCATGTTTAATGTTAATTTAAAAATAAAGTTTAAAATGACAACACAATCTCTTTAGACTTTTCACTGTTTAAATCATGTGATATAAACTGTTCTGATCTATAGTTTCACTGAACATTCTCCTCCCTGCTAAAACTTAAGTTTTGACTTATACTCACCATGTAGACTTTTATACTAATACTCCAAATGCTAGTTATAGCCAAGGGCATCAAAGTATCTTTTCCACATCCTGCCTTTTCTGAACAAACAGGTGGTAACTCAGGTGCCCCCCATATGGGTTCCATCCCATACCTTTACGTCCAATCTGTTCGATAAGCCTGGGCCTGGTTGTTTAACTAAAACCAGGGAAAGCTGGGCCATCATCCTCTGGCCTGTCGCTGCTGTGAACTGATGCCACTGTACTGTAAATGCAAGTCAGTCTCAATTTGCAGTAAGATTTTCTCTTGATTTTTTCTACATTTCACAGCCATTCAAACAGGTCTTCTCCATCAGTTATAAACCAGTGATGTTATACTCTAAAATCTGAGATGTTGCTGCATCATCAAGTCGTTAAAAGTAGTAATCTCCCTTCGAAGAGGTGATCTTTTCTGCATAGATATATCTCAGGATCTTTGCAGAAGACAAAATGATCAGGAATTTGAGCTTGAATTCACCAGCAAATATATTGGCAAACTGTTCTAAGATGCCATATGCAGATGTTAATGACCCATTTGGGGTCTTCTAATAGCTCTTGACCACCTCTCGGCTCTACCAGATGCTTTTTTTTTTTTCTTCTAGGTTCTCTATTATTACTCTTGGGGTGAGACAAGCTCGAGGCAACATTGCTAATTCTCTTTCAAAAAGTTAAACAAACATTAGTCTTCTATTCTTCCTTGTGGGCATTTGGAGGACATGATCTTCTGCTCCATTTTGGTTTCAAAGAACTTCTTTCTAGTTCTTCCTACTTCCAGGACTGTGTAAATGGAAACAAGTTACAGAAGAGTTGATAATAAGACTGAAAAGCAGAGGGAATGAGAGTCCTCTAAAACATGAGCCCTGAAATCACTTTCTGTATGGAGGACTTGGAACTCTAGAGACTGCTTTTCTGCCTCAGTACCTCCCTAGTCTGTTATATCCAAAGCAGTTGTTCTAAGCCTTTTATTTCTCTCACCAAACTTCTTTCTCATTCATTTATACTTGAAGATGATTTTTCTCTCTACCAAAAACAGAGTGGTAAATCTGAACTCACTCAAATTCCCCCTTTTCCCAGCCTTAAACCAATATGCATATCCATTCTTATTATAGGAAGGAAATGTCTTTCTAAGACCAGACCCTTTAACAGTGCCCCGAGTCCCCACCTCTTCTGTCTACAGGACTTTGTTCCATCAGTTATCTTCAGCCTCTCCTGTTATCTTCTCCTGGCCCCTTCTTCCACTGTCCAGTGCTTAATTCTTTCCCATACTAAAAATTCTTTCTTTTAGTGCTGCTCCTCTCTTAAAAACAAACTGTTCGGAAAGAGTAATCTGTACTTGTTAGCTGTACATAGTTAACTTATATTCTTTGCTAGTCCAATTCCATTCTCACCTTTATTCTGTCCCTTCTCTGAAACTGGTCTTGCATGATCTCCAGTGACTTCTCCATTGCCAGTTGCAGTGGTCACGTTTTTACCTTTGGTCTACCTTTCTTGAGACAATAGGCATTCTTAATCCTTCACTCAGAGGAAAGTTCTAACGAATGTTAACTTTGATGCTCAGGGTTCAGTTGTGTTCATTTGGTAATGTGAGGCTCCCTCTTGTTTCAGTGGATTTCAGAGTAAAACAGATTTTATTTCTTACTTCAAACAGTGGAATCTCCAGTTGGTATGGTGGTAGTTACTATTCTGTGGTCTAAACTGCCAAATCTGTGTGGTGACTCCTATAGAATGACACATTCTCCCCACACTTCCTCCCACTTTTTCTTAAACAAAAGTAAAATAATTTATTAAAACTAGTTAAAAAAATAAAGCCTTACTTTGTATTTGTGCAAAAATCCTATTACCCAGCTAGCTCATTTTTTGCTCGCTAATGACCTTGGAATTTTGAACATTATCATTATAAAGATCTGCCTCTATGGATGTTGAAATAACTATGCCAGGGTATGAGGCAACTTCAGTGCCTCACTGGGTCCTGACACAAAATTAATTCCACAAGCGACCCTGAGAGACCATATGCAATTCCAACCAGAAAGCTGGAAACTTGACCCATCTTATTTATATCCCAGCTGGTTGCCTTGAAAGGCTTAATTACAAGCAAAATACTTAGGTCTGGATGACATTGTAGTCCCTTCAAAACTGTATAAAGCAATTATTCTGTTCCTATATTTCCTAAAGGGAGAAAAACAGTATGAACAGTTTAAAAGCCTCATTGAATTCACTTGAGTCTCTGCGACCAGGAAAAACTATCAGTTTCACTTTTCCGAATTAAACATTCACATATTTAAATAGTTCATACTCTCTCTTCTTAGATCCTCTGCAGTATTTCTGGAGGTGGGAGTCTTTGCTTTCTGGTTTACATGCAGCACTAATACAGTGAGCAAGTAGGCTCCCTATGTTCATTTGGTTCTAGCATTTTAATTCAAGAGAGTGCTATGGTTTACTAGGGTTGTGGAATTGCTATTGAAGATCTGGCCATGAATCTTAGAGGCCACTGGAAATCTGCTCTTGACGCTGTTCCTTAGTCTTACTTCTCATCACTCTTAGAGTTGTCTGTGTACCTAAATTATCTGTGCTGACAGAACTGACTGGCTCATTCTGTCTCTGTCGGTGTCTGTAGCTGAAAATATATTTTTCAACTCTTCTTTACAGAGGGACCTGTCAGGACACAAGAACATCGTGGGTTACATTGACTCCAGTATCAACAATGTGAGTAGCGGTGATGTATGGGAAGTGCTCATTCTGATGGACTTCTGTAGAGGTAAGTATTCGAACCCTATCCTAAGCTCTCAATTCACTAGCATTTTGATTGTCAAGGGCATGGTGGTCATTTCAGTTAATTTACACTGAGCCCTAATGTATGTTGTTCTGGTTTTAAAGACTGGAAAATTGAGAGACTAAAATATAGAGCCTGCTGTTACCTCTTTGTCATTCTTATAACGGCAAGGATCAGTGGCAAAACAATTCAAAGTGCTGAATAATACAAAATTCCATTTTTTTTAGCTTTAGGAAGGTTTGATGCTTGTATATGAATGAGAATGTGTGAGAATGAGAATGAATGTGTTCTTTGTGGTGCTTTAAAAAAATGGTGAAGGCACATAATAAAGACCCAACTCCAGATGGACTAAAGAAACAATTTAGCTTCCCCACTCCCTCACTCGTGTGTTCTCTTCTCCACCCACATCGCCATCCTTGTGTTATGGGGTAAAAGAATCTTTTTTGTCTAATGGAAATGACCCTCTTCTCCTCACTTGAGAGCTATAATTGCCAGTAAGGCTACATTCAAAACATGCTGCTCTTAAGAGTGGAGTTAAGTAGTTAAAAGCATGGAGTTTCAAGCAGTATTTATCTTGGAAATCCAGACTGTAGCATTAGTTTAGTCAGAGTTGACTGCATTTCATATAGCCATTGTTTGGAGGTTTGACTTTTTTGGCCTCAACAGCTGCCACTTACAAGCTTGGGTCACTGTCTCACTGTTTTGCAGTAACCCTTAACTTCCACTAACATTTTTGGTACCTTAAAAGATTCTGTCCATAAATTAAATATGTTGCTTATCTCAAAAATGTGATGTTAACCAATAATTTCAGCCTTTACTGTAATAACTGTTAACCTGATTTTATAAAATACTGCCAAATTTGAACTTGACGATTTGTTTCCTCCTGCCCATTTCTTTTTGGACAGTAAAATGTTTAGAGATGAAGCAATAGGAACATCCAAGGATCTGGCTGATTTTGTGAGGCCATCAGTCTTTTAGTCCTGGGGATTAAATGTTGGTATAACATTTCTACAGGTCAGGCAAGTAGTGAAGCCAGAGAGACCAGGCTGTTCCTAAAGGATAGACTATAAAGCTGTCTTTTTCCTTCTCCCAGTGTCTACTGTGCAGTTGGATTCTTACTAAAAGGTACAGCAAGTTGAACCTGTGGCCTTGTCCCATACACAGCAGGGACAGTGTAACCAGACAACTATAGCAGGACCATGTGGTCAGTTCTACAACTGATCTTGAAGACATAATGAGGGCAGCTCATGTCTGGAGTGCTTTATAATTAAGGAAACTATTTCTGATACATTAGAGGAAGCCCTGGATTTTAAGAAAACAAATCCCAGGCTGGGAATCAAGGCACCTGGGTTTTAGTCCTGGCTCAGTGATTAGCTCTGTTCCCTTCATCCAGGTTGCTGCTGTGTGGACAGCCATTCATCTCTTGGGTAAGTGAAGAGTCTGAATGTTTATAACCTCCCCTTTGCTCTGCACCCCTCTCAGGAGGCCAGGTGGTCAACCTGATGAACCAACGCCTGCAAACCGGTTTTACAGAGAATGAAGTGCTCCAGATATTTTGTGACACCTGTGAAGCTGTTGCCCGCCTCCATCAGTGCAAAACTCCTATTATCCACCGTGACCTAAAGGTAACAGACCACACTGTTTCATTAAATGTGTTCTTAAAAGTGTTTTCTTTCTGTCTCAGCGATGAGGTGGGCACTATGGGGATGCAGGAGAAGTTTGGTCCTAAATTCCAAGCTTACATTCTGCTTGGGGAGAGAAAATACAAAGGAAAAAAAGAAGTAACAGTACAGTATAGGTATCAATTTTATGATTGAAGTAGCCTTCAGAAATTCTTTATAATCATCAAATCCCTGAACGTGTTTTGTTTTGTTTTTTCTGATATATTTTCAAATTCACTTTTCCAGGATCCTGAAAAGTAATATGCTAATTGAAGCATGGATGCTTGATCTTTAAACTCTATTTCATATTTTGCAAAATTCATTAATTATTTTGAATATTTGTTGCACTAATTACCATCTCTTTGCACTGGGCCTTTCATAATGTAGTCACTTGACAATGTTTGTCGAATGGAATTGGCACCCGGCTAGGATTCGCTAGCATTTATGGAGCATCGACTGGGTGCCATGTACTCTGCTAGACACTTTGTGTACAGTCTCCCTTTGGAGGGAGGCATTCTTCCTTACATTCTGTAATTGAGGAAACTCAGGAGCAGAGGGGTTACGTTACTTGCCTCAGGTCATATAACTAGGAAGGAGCAATACCAGAATTTGAATCCAACTCTTCTGATTCTAAATTACAGTTTCTTTTCGTTATACGTATGTTTTGAGAAATATGCTTCATGGCTAATAACTTGCATTAGTGTCCCCTGGTGTGTTTATTAAGTATAGTCTGCTGGGTTCCACGCCAAATCTATTGGGCTGTAATTTTCGTGGTGGTGTCAGGGAGGCTCAGGAATTTATATCTTAATAAGCCACCCCCAAGTGGTTTTTGTATATTCTAAAGTTTGAGAATCACAGCAGCATACTGGCATTTCTGGTTGGTTTTGTTTTATTTTTTTATTTTTTAGCCATTAAAAAAAATTGATATGATTCACATACCATAAAGTCACCCTTTTAAAGTGTATGATTCAGTGGCTTTTAGTATATTTACAAGGCTGTGCAACCATCACGAATATTGAATTCCAGAACATTTCATCCTCCCCAAAAGAAATCCTCTGTCTGATAGCGATCACTCTTCAGGCCCTCTCGCCCCAGCCCCGGGCAACCACTAATCAATCTACTTTCTATTGCCTGTTCCGGACATTTCCTGTAAACGGGCTCATACAATATATGACCTCTTGCATCTGACTTCTTTTACCTAGAATGTTTTCAAGGTTCATCTATGTTCTAGCATTCCTTATAGCAGAATATTCCATTGTGTGGCTATAGCACATTTTGTTTATCCATTCATCAGTTGATGGACATTTAAGTTGTTTCTACTTTGGCTGTTATGTATAAAGCTGCTATGAATACCCATCTGCTAGTTTTTATGTGGGCATATGTTTTCAGTTCTTTTGAGTGTATATACCTAGGTGTGGAATTGCTGGGTCATATGGTAACTACGTTCACCTTTTTGACAAATTGCCAAACTGTTTTCCAAAGTGGCTGCTCCATTTTATATGCAGTCAGCAATATACAAGGATTCCAGTTTCTCCACATCTTCATAAACAATTGTTATTGTCTTTTTTCTTTTAATCCATCCCTAGTGGGTGTGAAGTGGTACATACATACTGGCATTTCTGTACTAAAGCAGTAGGCTTTCAGGAAGGTAGGTACATACCTCCAGAAGCCTTAGACATCCTTCTCCAGTGTACTTCTGTCCACAGTCAGTCTTTTTTCTGAGTAAAAAAAGGAGAATACATCCCCGTTAATATTATGAGCCTAGCAAAGTACAAGTACATAATTCTGTGGAAGGTGGTACAGATATAATAATATGGCCCTAACTCTCAAGACATTTAAAGTACTGGAGAAAGGACTTATAAATGAAATTTTTAGACTTGATACAGAAATAAATGAAATACAAAACTTTATTTATTTATTTTTTAGGTGAGGCAACCCTTGGTTGATCTCACAGATTGCAAGGACCTTGTCAGCTTACAATCCCTTATTTTTTAATTTATTTTTACACCTACAGCACCAGATCTTCCTAGGTGGTCTCCCATCCAAGTACTAACCAGGCCTGACTCTGCTTAGGTTCCGAGATCAGACAGGATCGGGCTTGTTCAGGGTAGCATGGCCGTAGACTAAAACTTTATAAAACAGAGTGATGAATAGATGAAAATCAAATGGCTTAATGTATGATCGGATAGTGAAATCAGGTAGTGGTAGTTAGAATCTTCTGGAAAAGTGAGATTTCAAAGGACTGGTGTGACGTGCGTGGTTGCAGAGAGGATGAGGACATTTCAGGCAGAGAGCAAAGCCTAGCGAAGGGAACAACAGGGTATTTGAGGATAAGGTGGGATGTAAGGCCCGAGTGTGTGGCAGGTTGCAAATCAGAGTAGAGTGACTGCTGGCCACTGCTCTGAGTATGTATTGACATTTTTTTCAGCTGTTGCCTTTAACAGTGAGTGAAATTTTGGGGCCTATTAGCATATATTTCAAAATAAACAAACAAGTCTGTGGCCGTGTTACCCTGAACAAGCCTGATCCCATCTGATCTCGGAACCTAAGCAGAGTCAGGCCTGGTTAGTACTTGGATGGGAGACCACCTAGGAAGACCAGGTGCTGTAGGTGTAAAAAATAAATAAAAAAATAAGGGATTGTAAGCTAATAAGGTCCTTGCAATCTGTGAGGTCAACCAGGGGTTCCCTTGCCTAAAAAAATATAAACAAACAAACAAACAAATAAAATAAACAGACAGTGGTACTAACATTTTAGGAATTGATCTCTCTCTCTGCTGTCTTGGAGAAAGGTTTGTGAGGGGCAAAGGAATAGGGAGAAGCATGGCTGGGCAGCACCAGCACTGGTCTGTGAGTGTGGGCACTACTTCTGTGAATTACTTCTGTGAACTGTATGAGTTCTGGCCTCTCTGGAGCCCCATTCTCCCCCCATATCATATGGGGTTTAATTTCATATTGGAACTCTGATTCTCTAGCACTCATAGTGTGATTTGTACCCACAGAATCGTAAGCACTATGAGAGATGAGCATGCAGTGTTGTTCATATTGCCAGATGCAAAGGATACTTCAGTCCCTGTGTTCTTCTCCTCCTGTGACCAAATTCTCCCTTGACCTCGGTGACAGTGTGTTCTCCCTGGCTCCTCCTCAGGCTCTTTGGTTGCTCTAATTTACTTAGCCTCAGAGCCTCGGTTTCCTCATCTGTGAAGTGGAGATAATAGTGCCAGGTTTGTTAGGCTTGTGAGAGGGTTAAATGAGAGTGTGCCTGTCACTGTCCACGCACATCCCTGGCACAGTAAGTCCTGAGAGGGCACAGAGGTGAGAGAAAAGGGAGGAGGGAGAGAGAGCCTTACAGCATTCTTTAGAGCAGGGTTCCCCAACCCCCAGGGCCATGGACCAGTACTCATCTGTGGCCTATTAGGAACCTGGCCGCACTGCAGGAGATGAGCAGCAGACCAGTGAGTGAAGTTTCACCTGTATTTGCAGCCACTCCCCAGCGCTAGCATCACCACCTCAGCTCCACCTCAGTTCATCAGGCATTCGATTCTCATAGGAGCACCGGTCCCTGGGGCCAAAAAAGGTTGGGGACCACTGCTTTAGAGAGTTCTGTTCTCATGTTCTTAAACAAAATCTTCCATTATTTTTAAGTTTGTAAACATTTATTGGATGAAATGAGGCAAAATGATAATCATGTCATACCCATAAATAATACCTACCCAGTTTACACATTCACATCATATTAATGCCCTGTGGTGTTCACAGTGCCGCTGTGAGGTGTGGATAAGTGTCTCCCAGTGATAGGAACCTGAGGTACAGAGCCCAGTTCTTCCCTGGGGACACAGAGAAGGCCAGTGCTTGGGCCCAGGCAGCAGGAGTCCCAGACTCTTCCTTCACTGCACTGAGCCTGTGAGATGTCTCAGCAGAGGAATGTGGAGCACACTGGATCAGAGGGTGAGGGCGTGGCATGAGCAAGAGGCCAGCTGTGTTCTGTTCCCAGCCTGCCCTCATGCCTCTGTTACTGAGAGGTGGCACTGCACTGGGAGCACTATTGGCTCTGTCCTTCTGTTTTAATTGATTTTGAAGACTCTTAGTTATGCCGCCAGGTATCCGGTAGTGGTTCCCTCCCTCCTCTACTTTGAAAGTAAAGAATGTAAATGGGCCCCTGGGAGGAGGCCTCAGTTGTGCTTGTCTAGAGGAGTCCTGTCGCAGTTGATTTTAGTTAACTCCTGGATGTTTTGATTGAAGCCTTCCACAACTGCCCAAATTGTACACTTGGTGCTTTTGTTAGCATGGTAGATTTTGTTGGTTCCTACCGGTATGTGCCCAATGAGCAGTCACATTTGCCTGCTGTACCACCAACTTCCTAAGGTATGAGTGAGTGAAATGTCCCCACACATCTCCTGTTTGCCCTGGCCGTGTTATTGTATCACATAGCCTGGGCCACTCCGAGCCCTGTGTCACTGGAAGAACCAGCCACCACAGTCTTAGTGGTAGCCAGAGCCAAGAAGTTCTTTATTCTGTTATCTAGAGAAAGTTCTGGTTGCTGGTCTCTTGGTTGCTTCTCTGTAAGCAGCTTTTCCACTGGGTGAGGAGGCCCCACTGTGAATAAAAGTGAGACACGGGAAGAGTACAAGCCAAGCCAGCTGTGGACCCCCTTGTTGAGCCAGTGCCGCCCTGTGTGGGGTCTCTTGCTGCTTGCAGAGCTGAGACAAACCCTTCTTGCCCAGCCCGCCACCTTTGTGGTCCTCCTTTCAGTCCTGGTCCTCAGGCAGCTTGTGCTCTAAAAATGACAGCAATGAAGGTGCTGTCCTTTATAGAGGTCTTTTCTCAAATACATTCACATTTTAATTTTTTCTCCCATTAAAAATTTTTATTTCTCTGAGGAAGGATAAGAGATTATTATTACAGATCATGGAGTCACAGACTGGGAAGGTCACCTAAGCCAGCTCTCTCCTTTGACCAGTGAGG